GGGTTATTTGTGTGAATTACATGATAAATGCGATATTATATATTAGTTTACAATATTTGCAACAGATTTGAAGGAAGTTCCATCATTTTTGGGGTATTTCTGTGAATTATGTGAGAAATGCGTAGTTCCACTCTGATACATATACAATTTTGGAATGGATTTGACATGAATATCACAAAATTAAAGAAAACTTGAGAAATTTCATAATTTTGGGTTATTTGTCTAAATTATGTGAGAAATACAAAGTTCTACTTTAGTTTGTACAATATTTGAAACGAGATGAATTTCATAAAATTGGAAAAAATCTCAAGATGTTCGTCGATGTTAACTTGCTTCGTAACTTAGGTACCAAAACTTTCAAAATATCAAAAAGTACCTAATCTTGAATTTCAATCGGTAGTCCACATGTTTACCATATTAATCTCCTCACTTCACTTGTTCCGTGTTAATTTTTCCAAAGAGCCTAAAAACTTTATTTCCAAAGACTGAGGCAAAGACTAGGATATCTAAATCAGCCCTTAGAATCAAGTTTGACACCCAAATCATTCAGCTCATCTAGCAGAATGATTGTGTAATATAAAAAATAGAAATAGTAAAGTATTAAGATGTTTCAAAAGTTAGTTCTTCAGTTTGTATTGTGCAAAAAGAAGGCTCAAAAGTTGCAATTTCTGGAACTCAGAAGAGCGCAAACTCTGAAAATAGAGAGAGTCCTGATTTTCACTTTCGGATTCGTAATCTACACGTCGAAATACGTTAATACACACTTTTTTTTTCAAAATATACTGGTGCAGTCTATCCGAAATTTCACCCTTTCAAGAATATAATGTTGTAATAATATCGAATTGCGATTTCAATGTAAATTCCACAAATATTCCTATAGTCTAATACGACGTCAATTCGAATGGCATAAAAACTAAATAGTTACCGAACGTCGGCAGGTTTTTGAGTATGGCGTGGGCGGTGTTGTATAATTTACGAGGTCTTATCATTATTTTTAAGTGGGAGGATTTATATGGTATTAACTAGTGAATTTATTAGACCCGGTACATTAGTCTTTTATCTAGCTGTTCGGATTGACTACGTAGACCTTGTACTTATATATTCTGTGTATATGTGCCAAATTTTCATGTTGACATATAGCAAACGAACCGTGAAGCCTTTAACGACTGTACTATGATAGACGGTTTGTCTGTTGAATCAGAAATAGCAAGCATATCAGGTACGCTGAATCAACAAGTCGGATTTTCTATTTGGATTTCTTGAATGCTCGTTGAATAAAATCTTCAAATCATGGATCTTTTACTTTAGATGGTGTTGTATATTGAATCAAAATTAAGCTTTTTATATACATAGGATTTCATGACGTCTTACTGAAATGGAGAGGGAAATATATCTTGAGAGAAAACAATACCGGGAAAATTATTATCATATAAGTGTCTGAGCGGCAATGATTTATTGTTTCTCCTTTGGGCCTTGCTTTCAGGGTGAGTTTTGATTGTCAAAAATTGATTTATGTATGTTATGTATGACGGAGCGATAGATTGGAAGAACAAATTATGCGGCGTTGCCATTTTCCTTTTGAGATCTAAAAATTTCGGAATTATTTGAAGAGAGGAAATACTTTGAGTCAGCTCCTAATGATCAAGATGTATTTTTCAAACTTCCTCCGTCGATTAATTTCCCTCTCGCATCATTTCCTCCTAGGCTGAGAGCGAACATTGTGCGAACTTTCCAACTTTCCCGTCCGTCCTATTTCTATTCATTGTAATGTAGTTTAAATTTAGATGGGAAATTGTTAGGAAGTTTCTTAGTTCATACACGAGGACTCTTGTATATCCGTTTTATTATTTTTTGTGTGTAGAGGTGAGTATATTTAGAACCCAATGAATTACACGTGTACAAACAGTCATCATTCTTCAGTTTATTTTTCAAGTGTTGATGTAATAGTATCGTAAAATATATCGATTGGTGATATTTCTGTTATTGAAAATCGTGTTATTAGCTACGTAATTCTTCTTTTATATTTATATAAAAAGTAAATTTTTTGTAGTGCATTCGTACAAAAGTTTCGGCTGTACATTAATATAAGAGCGGGCAACTGCTAGTGATATATATTTTTTACTTCAAAAATACACTAAAAATATGCCAACTGCACTAAGTAATGAATATAGCTGAAGAAATTCGCAAAACTTACACAACCGTCAACGACGTCTGTCCGCGTTCATTGCTTTGACCGCCCTTCTACCCTGCGCATCTTCCACCGTCGTCTTACAGTAGACGCGACGCTTAATCGCTTCCTGCGTTGCGTTAAGTTAATCTTATCGCGATAACTTTTAAACAAAGTTTATTTATATCAAATATTTAAAACGAGACTTGTATCAATTTTTATAAGAATTTAACGGATATTCGCGGATAAAATGCACATTTTAAAAAAAATATCCAATTAATTGTATTCATGGCTCAGTATTTTGCATATAGTGGCTACCACATGAAAATTAGATGTATACTATCGCGAACTTTTATTTAGAACTATTCAAGATGAACAATCTCACGGTACATTATCTGCATGTATAGTCGAAGTAAACGATATTGTGCACTCTTAAAGTTGTCGGCACTCTCAAAGGCCAAAAAACCAATACATAGAAATAAACCGGTAGCAAACTGAGTTTTATGATTGGCTGAAGAGTCATAAAATTTAAGTCATGTTACGGTGACGAATAGAAATCGGGAAATGCGGCCTTGGTTATCGCTGTCGTGTTCAGTTCAGGAATTGATCGCGATTTGGGTGTTGAAACTCGATTTTGATGCAGTAATAATTACTTGAAGTTTTTGTTATCTGTTTAAAACGTGGCGTCCTTGGACAATTACTAATAGTAATAAGGAGTGTGATAACAACGCAGACTTTTTCCAGTGCAGAGTAATTCCAATAGCGATGGTGAACAATGCGAAAAAGAGATATCAGTGAATTACATTCGGATGCATTTGAATATTGAAACACAGATAGTATGTTCCAATGTATATAATAATCTACATCTCAAGTTTGGTTTCGAGGGAAACAAACTATCACGAGCAACATCCGATTTGACCGAACTTCCTTTCTCAACTGTACGTAAAATTGTCATAAACAAACCTTATGAACGCTAGACCTGATGTTATACAGGATTACCAAAACCTTTATATGTTAATCTAATAAAATCATTGAAAAAACTATACGACTGATACAAAAGCAACTTTTCAGAAATTGATAAAGAAACTAGGATTTAGATTTAAAATAATAAACAAACGTCAAGTAGTTATGGAAATCAGAAGAATAGTGGAATTAAAACAAATAACTGAATTTAGACAAAAATAACAGCAAATTTTCTATTTGGACGAAACTTTGTATGATAACACTCACGACACAGTTACGAAAGGGTGGACTGATGGTTCGAGAATGTGTACGCCTAACATGCCTGCAAACAAAGGATCCCGACTAATCATTCTGCATTGCGGAGGAAGTAAAGGATGGGTCCCGAATTCTTTGAAATTATGTGGAAAAAACTTCAGGACTGCAAATTTGACAATCATAAGAACATGGAAGCTTATATTTCGAGGAATGGTTTGAAAACACATTGATCCCAAATTTGGATGCGACAGCTCATCAAAACACTGAATAAAAATTCGTGGAAAGATGAAATACAAAGGTTTTTAATGGATAACAATTTGTATTTTGAAGATTACTATACCAAAAACCATCTACTTGAAGTATTACAGATAGAAACATTTGAAAAAGTGTATGCCCTTGAGAGAATTGCTGGAAAGTATGGACACACCATACTGAGACTTCCCCCTATTTTTGTGTTTTCAATCCCATCAAGTTGATTTGGGGAAATCATCAGGCGTAAAAATAATTTTCTAAAATTTGATAAGAAGGTAATAGAGCTAATTAAAGAAGAAGTATCTAATATTACTGAAGAACACTGGCAGAAAAGGATTAAAAAAGTAGTTTTAGTTGAAAAAGACTATATGAAGATTGGACACAGATACAGATACTTTATTCATCATTGAAGTTTTTTACACAATGGTACAAAACTTATCAGACTAGTCAAAACATATTATAGTATCAAAACTTATAAAAACATTATAGAGCTCACAAGAAAATATGAAAAACTCACAGATAGTTCACCAAACAGTGAGGTACTCTTCCATATTAATGGTGGAAATGAATTCATTATTGATTTAAATGACGACAGTGATAGTGAAACAGAAAATATGGAACAAGAATAATCAGAAGCTTTCGAAAAAAGTTTGTGAAGTGTTTTTGAAGCGATCGATTGTATATATATGTAAGTGGTATTCAAACTTATTTTCAGTTGTCACCCTGTTATTTGAAAATCTACTTTCCCACTCATCTATATAAGCGAAAAATTTATTATATATACTTTTATTATATAAATCATATAGTTATTGTGATTCTTATATAATCAGAAATGATTATTGACTAACGAAATTAGTTAGCTCCCCAACTATATTATTAAAGGGGAGTTGTTGGAAAGTAGGTTGCACTATATCGTTTACTTGAACTATAACTCCAACGGTATAGGCAGCGCTCTCAGGAAGCAAGAATTTTTCTGGCTTACTTACTTATCGTAAATATTATGACCAAAATTACACAAAGCCCCTGTAAATTGTAGCCTATGTTTTTCTGATGTATACGCTGTATTTATGTGAATCTGAATCTGTTCAGTCGTTTAGGCGTGAAAGAGCCACATTCATACTTATATACCCTCACTTATATATTCATACTTATATATCCTCACAAACTTTCACATTTATATTAGTATATAGAATAGATGTTCTTGTTGCACCGAAAATTCCAATCCAGAGTGCCAACCAAAAGTCACTTATGGTGTATGTGCAAGTAAATCCTCATTCGCATTGGAAAGTAAAATCAAGTCACCTTGCCTTGAATTTTTAATCTGGCCGGCATCTCTCGCTAATCTCAGTGTTGATTCGACTCGGTAGGGATCTACATGTGCGGGTGTATCAGTTTTTCACACGGCAGTGTTTTTTATAAGTGTTGTTACGTGTTGTGATAAGGAGTATCTATCACCATACTCAAAGCTCTGTCGATATATATCGGTTGGTTTTTTTATTTGTCCTGAGCCACTTGATTCGTGATAGTCGAATGATAAATCAAATATATATTCCAGCCTTCTACGGTTTGCAGTGCCTAAATTTAAATTGTTTCAAATCAGAAAAATCGGTCATTTCCACCACGGTTTAAAATAAACGTCTTTCTGTTGGTTTGGAAGTCATCTGCACACATTTTTAGTCTGTTTTTGAGTACAATGATAATTATTTATAAATTTGTTGGGATATAAAAACGAATAGAACTCCAAATTAGCGTTTTGTTTAGAATGCGAAGTTCAATGAGTTCATTTACATTTTTCACTCGGTTTTACTGATATGATTGGAGGGTTTTTTCCAAGTAAGTGCAATAATATCAAGGGCTTATACAGTGTGTGTCAAATTGAGCTTCCATAAAATGTTTCGTATGAAAGTATTAAATATAAATGTATTTTGACTTTTTGAAAAAATATTGTCCAATATATACAGGCCGATTTTTTAGCTGATCCCCCTCTTGCTAGCTCGGAAACGGTAATACCTGCAAGTTTGGTTGAATTTGTCAAAAGTTTTCTATTTTGGTGAACTAGAATAATCTCTTCAGATTGAGAATATCAGTGGTTGTTTTTGAAATATTCGCTCAGAACTAGATTTGTCGAATTTCGTGTTCTGGCTCTACCACCTTCATTTTGAATGATATAAAAAAGGCAGAGGAACTTTCAAAACCGTTTTATATTTGTTAAAATCTGATTTATCTGATATAAACCAATTTGCAATGCGACGTTTTGTTAAGATATGGACTTTCAGTTTTTTCATAGACTTTTGTAGCCACTGTAATAAAGTCAGATATGTATTAAAATACGTGTTCGTACATAAAAAAGTTGATGATGAAATCCAAAGAACGAAACGTCGCAATGCAAATTGGTTTTTCTTCTATATTAGGATAACGCCAAAGAAGTGCGTTAAAAAAGTCTAAGTTTGTAGGGGTATATACCAAGAGGTTATGTCAAAAATAACATCAAAAAGTGGATTGGTACAATTGGAATTGGAGAAAAATGAATCCATCAAAAAAAATTCTCCCACACGAGAACGAAATAATGTCTCTCAACGTGTGTTTCGCTAACCAAGTTAGCATCATCAGTAGATGACGAACTAAATTTTACGGCTACCTACTCTAATTTTTTATATACATCACTTCAATCAAATTAATTCCTAGAATAACTTTTATTGTTGCTGGTCCTAATGTCAATCACATCTTATGATACCTAACTTCCCCACATTTTTTTTTGTATAAAGATGCAAAAGCTCAAAAAGCTCTTTCCCAAGTTGTTCTAGAAATTTATTTAGTTTAGGCTAGTTGTTGTCGGTCCAGATGTGTATAACGGTACTTTTGAAGTGAATATTTTTATTGATACAAAAATTGAAAATATCAACTAGGTTTATTCGGGATCGAATATCTAATAAATAAAATAAGATAATGATTCCTAAAAAAATGAGAAAATGTATTCAAACATCGCATTCCCCGTATCTCAGTCAAATTAATCTTCGACAACACAAAACATAGTGTTCAAAAATATCGTGAAAAAATTAATTTGTCAATAAAGTTCGGAATTTGTGTCTTATTTTTATGGTACTGAAAGACAGTCTTTTCGAGTTTTGATTCACTTTTTTTTAAAAGATTTGAATGGGAATAAGCTGAAAAGGCACATATTTTACAAAAATTATGAACATATAATAATATATCATCGACATTTTACTTTTTAACGTTACATATTATTTCGATACGTTGTACTTCCTCATTAAATAAAAATAACGTCTTAGACCTTCGTAAATAAAATACGGAGTGTGTAATATTTCGAAACTTCGATTTTATTTATAATTATTTAATGCTGAACTTTTGAAGCGAGGCGAACCACATTTGGTGAAGAATGTTATTGAGATTTGGGGGTCATAGAATACGAAAAAATCAACGTTTCTTAATCACTCGATATAGCTGTTGTATGTAATATAATTTCAGTAATAAAAATGAGTAAAAAACATGATAAATTTTCCAGTAGCAAACTTTGATTTTGATGAAGAATTGTCACTTGTCGTTTTAGGCTAGCAACTCTTTTTCAGAAACTAAATAATCTATGGCCACGAGTCATATTTTCTTGGTTATCACATATCAGCTCTGATATTGTTCTTGTTCTGGAACCTTCAACTGCATAAAATAAAAAATAAACAAAAATAAATAATAATACATGCACAAAAGTCAAAACTTGCACAGACATTTTTATAAACGTTTTTCGCATCAACCGTTAAAAAATTTTGTATTTCCCAACGGCTGAAGTCATCTTTGAGAGCTTCTTATTGGATCCCAGCAACATGTCTCTGATTGTCACGATAGGTTGTGAGGTCTTAACTAGAGATGAAATGGATAGCAGTTTAGCCAGATACCGGATATTCGGCTAATCTTGTAGAAAACGTATTCTAAAAACACTTTATTGTGTGATTTTCACTGGACAGTTTTACACGCCCGAGGAAGCCATTGTATGGCAAAACACGTAAAACTGTCCAGCACGTGTAAAACTGTCCAGTGAAAATCACACAATAAAGTGTTTTTAGAATACGTTAGTTATGAATTTTCATCAAGTATCGGCCGATTCCATCATATAATTTTGTAGATGTATACCGGATATTCGACCAACCTTGCAGTCGAATAACGGATATTTGGCCAACCTCGCAGCCGAATAACGGATATTTGTCCAACCTCGCAGCCGAATAACGGATATTTGTCCAACCTCGCAGCCGAATAACGGATATTTGGCCAACCTTGCATCCGAATAACGGATATTTGGCCAACCTTGCTACCGAATAACGGATATTTGGCCATCCTCGCAACCGAATAACGGATATTTGGCCAACCTTGCATCCGAATAACGGATATTTGGCCAACCTTGCAACCAAATAACGGATATTTGGTCAACCCTGTAGCCGAATAACGGATATTTGATATCCTCGAAACCGAATAACGGATATTTGGCCAACTTTGCATCCGAATAACGGATATTTGGCCAACCTTGCAACCGAATAACGGATATTTGGCCAACCTTGCAGCCGGATCTGAATATCCGGCGGAACGTTGCCATTTGGTGCATCGCAACGCTTGTGTAAGGGGCGCGCGAACACTAGAGTGGTTAAAAATTGTTTCTGTCATTCGTTGACTTATTGCATTGATTGCAGTGCATGCACTTTGCAGCAATACAAGGAATTAGTATTTCTTCACCATAATTTTCTAATTAATTATCCGAGTTGTAGATTTATTGTGTAATTATTGATTGTATTTCTTGAGTGATACTAAATGAAGCAATTTATTACCTACAAATATTTTTTTAAATCCGGTATTCGGCCGAATAGGCTCAATGAGCAGTCGGTAATTGATTCGAACAAACATAATATGATTTGGTCACTTTGCGTCTAGTTAAATGTTGATAATTCAATTCTCGGTTTATTTATTGATACTTCAACTCGATAATCAAATTTACTTTTTTGTGTTGGAACTTTTTAAGCCGTTTGTTAGTATAATGGTTACGTACATAGAGAAAACAAATATTAGTTGTTTTATTGACTCTGTATTCGAATGACGGTGTGAAGTTACTTTAGAATAGATTTATATATTCATTTTAAATTAGCGTTACTTACATATCCAAGAAAGTTGTGTCCTGAGGCAGCTCGTGCCTGGTTTCTAAAGTATCGCTAATATCCACAGAGTACAATGCTTTTTCAAGGTGTAACTCGCACAAGTTTGGACAAGTAAACAAAATAAATTAGGTTGGGCCAGATATCAAGAATGGAGAGTGAATGGGACAAGGAAATTTGAGGACAGAGTGAAAGGAGAAGATAGGACATTCCCCTGGGTGGAGGACGAAAGAATGATTCAGCGAGGTTGGAGGACGAAAGAATAGGAATAGGCTGGGCGTATAAAAGGGAAGAGGATGAATGGACTACAGTGTCAACGAAGAAGTTGAGGACCGAAATGTTCTGCCTGATGAACAATTTGGCTTCAGGAGAGAACACTCCACTGAGTTACAGGCTCGAAGGCTGGTTGACCATCAAAGAGCTTGATTCCAACAAAAAAGTACACATTGTGCTACTTGACATCTCGAAGGCCTTCGTGTTTGGCACGAAGGTCTTCTGCACAAATGATTGGGTCTTTCCTTTAAGACAGGACATTTCAGGTTAGAGTAGAGGGATCTCTGTCTGATAACAGAGAGATCCTTGCTGGAGTGCCACAGGGGGCCGTGCTCTCTCCGACGTTGTACTCACTTTACACCAGTGACCTTCCGAGGCCCGAGCGCATGAAGATATCTCTGTACGCCGATGACACGGCTCTCCTCTCATCTTCCATGGGTTGAGAGCTCGGCGTCGTCTACATGCAACGTGCATTTGACGACCTCGAGCGCTGGTACCTAGACTGGAAGATCCGAGTGAACCCGGAAAAGACTCGGGCGATAACCATGGGAAGACTGAAATCTTCTCCGGCCAGAAAAATGAGAATCTCTGGAAAGGAGATTGACTGGCAAGCGCGGGTAAAGTACCTCGGCCTTCTAATAGACCGTAGGCTCACTTGGAACCCGCACATAATGAGCGTCAAATCAAAGATCGAGGGTCGGATAGCACATCTGTACCCTCTGATCAACAGAAGATCTAAAACGAGTCTTAAGAACAAGATTACCATCTATAATACGATGTTCAAGCCTGTCATCATGTATGCTTCAGGCGTCTGGAGACAAGCGGCGAAATGTAATATCTCCATTCTGGAGGTTTTGCAAAACAAGTTGATGAGGATGATTGTCAGGGAAGCTATGGATTATACTGTAGACGACCCCTCCCGATATAGAAGGCCCCGACACTGTCGAATGAGGCCCCTATGTCCTCTGTTGAAAGATGAACAATTTTTTCATCCAACCCACTCCAGCCAGGTAGGAGTACCCCGTGAAGGGCGTTACTGATGTCTGAGGATATTCATGCCG